TTTAAAAGGACCAAACCACCTGCTGGCTCTCTGGTCTTCATGGTCCTGGTTGTTCTCCAACGTTCTCCACTTTGTTTTTGATGAAGAGCTTTGAACCATGCATCATTTTCTCAACACTTCAAACACAGAAGGGGTGAACACTTTTACTATAAAGAGATGAGACTCCACACCTGTAGACTGGAATCTTCTCTGCCAGGCCAAAGTCTCCAACCACAGCGGTGAAGGCGCCGTTTTCACAGCGGACCAGACAGTTCTGCACACAGACACGGTCAGAAACCAACATGGCGTTCTCTGAAAGAACCCTGCTGCTCCACAGCAGCCTAACCAGGGTGCAAACACACACTGATAATGAGAAGATGTGCTCTGGCTGCTCCTCTCCTCCCAGGCTGATCTCTGAGCTGACACGGCTAACGCAGCAGGTGGAAGCTACAGCTGCTCTGCTGACTGACGGCTAACTGAGCAGCTTACCTTAGAGGTCAGGTCTCGGTGGAAAATGCCCTTGCTGTGCAGGTACTCCAGTCCTCGGCTGATGTCCAGAGACAGTCCCATCCTCACGCTCCATGACAGGTACAGGTCGCTGTCCAGCAGCTGCTCCAGGTTGCCTCCATTGATGTACTGAACAGTGTGGAAAGACAGCAGGTTATTAAATCACAGCGTTTTGTCCTGAGCAGTCAGAGACCTGTAGAGAATCAGCAGGGACGTTAGCTGCCCCCAAACCTTAAAACAGCTGCAGCTGCAGTGCTGGGCTGTCAGAAAGGATCTGCTGTGGTTAGTGATGGTCTACAGACTGCTGCTGGGTCATTAGCTACGCAGCGCCCTGTTGCTAAGCAGCTTCCTCAGATAGGAGTCTCCCATGCTTTACCGTCTGTGTCACAGTCTGCACACACGTCCCTACAAAAACTCACAGTGAACCATTCAGCGACTTCATTCAAGTTAGAGGCTAAAGCTCTGAGACTCTAACAGTCAGAGCAGCAGGTTTAAACACTCTTCCTGGCTACAGACCCCTATTAAGAATTCAATCAGAATTTATTTTCCCTTAGGTAATAATGAAGTGTTTTTTAATTAATTATAAAGATGTGTAGCAGACTAGAGGGACGTCATCCTCAATGGGAAAATTAAAGAGCTCTCTGAGCTTTAGAGGTTCATCACATTTCCTGTTTAAATCCCACAGAACAAAGTTTTTTTCTACGTCATCAGCCGTCCTTCAGTCTGATGAGGGATAGAAACATCAGCAGAGCAACAAGGAGAACTTCATTCTATTAGAAGGCGTTCCATTCTCCTGGAAAACTGTGACATTAACCTCTGATTAAATGATGAATGCTAATGAATAAAGGGAGTTTTTCCTCTCCACTGTCGCTACAAGCATGCTTAGTGTGAGGGATTGCTGAAGAGTCAATGAGTCGATGCAATCAGCTGATTTTCCTTAGATAGAAAACTTTGAATCAATCTGACTGGATGATCTGGTGAACTGGAAAGTGCCTTGAGATGACATGATGTGAATTGGTGCTATAGAAATAAACTGAATAGAACTGAAATCACGGTCTGGAGTTTACTCGCTGAAGCAAGTTCCAGAGGAACAGAGAGCGGCCGATTAACAGAAGTCCATTATTAGGAGACAGGAGGGTGGAGCTGAAGGGGAGCAGAGCCTCCTAGTCTACCTGCTCTGCATCTCTATTACAGCTCATTGAGAGCCGCAATGCATAGAGAGCTCCTTACATAGAGGGACAGCAGCAGAATGCACACAGTAGAGCAGGGGTCACCATTAAAAATCAGCAAATAAAGAAAATCATCAACCAGTTAAGGTCCGGAGACATTTATTATTATTATTATCTGTTACTTTAAACAGAGTTTAACACTGAAATAAAATAAGGTTTTTATGAATCCATGTTATTCATTAGATTTTTAAATACAAAAAATAGTTTTCCATATTAAAATATAAATTGTTTTTTAAAGTAGAGAACAACAATCGCTCAGTTTGGTATATAGACAATTTCCTGATTCCCATATTTTATAAAACACCTGAACTGACAGTTTGTTTTCTTATTTCTGTCTTAATGTTGGCAGTGGGCTTTAGGCTGCCCTGCAAGGCTTTAAACCTGGGTTTAACCGGAGACTAAGCCATTCTAAAGCACATATCAAGGAGCTCATTTTGAGCCTGGATCCAGATTTATTGTTGATTCTGTTCATGGTGGAGAATCCTGCTTCACAGCAGCAGGTTGAGCCAAACAT